AAGTAGAGTTATCATTTCTTTCTAAACCTGGAATGGTGGCAGTGAACCCATCAGTTTCCCAGGCCAAAGCCTATGAGTTGCCCTGAACTCCTTCCTCACAGACGATTAAGCACAGAGATCCACAAAGTCCAGCTCTGTGGGTTATTAGTTCGCCTCTCAGTCCCAAACGCACGCTTCAGTAGGTGTTCTATGCTGAACAACAGAATTCCATGAAGCATTTCTTCTTGAAAGTGTGCCCCATGGTACACTTTTGCAGTAGAGAGCACAAGAGGGATGGAACAGGAAGAGTCTTTTTATAACCTCCAGCTCAGACTGGGGCTCAGCAGTGTGGGTGTGAGAGCAACAGTGGCCTCCGCCCCAGCCTCAGGCCCAGAACACAGACGCTCAGCAGCCTTGCAGCCTCTGCTTGGCCATAAGCTTTCCCCGGCTGCCTGTTCAGGGTTCACCTACTCTTCCGTGAAGAAGGTGACTTGTGTGGAATTGGATAATAGTTTTTCTAAATGCTGGAAAAATATTTTAATTTTTTTGTGTGCAATTACAGTATCACAGCCACAGACATGACACACTTTTAAGCTTAGTCAGCATTGTTAAAAAATATCCTCTGTTGCTTTCTAGAGTTTAGACAATCCACAAAGCAATACATCGAGCTCTGACCTCTCGTGTTTGCTGACTTCCATTTTTACTTTTACATTTTACTCACTGCCACCAGGGTCGATTCCAAATGACCAGTGTGACAGAAGGTACCGTTGAGAAGAGGTGTGTGGCAGCACATTGTGTAGCACTTCCACGACACAAATACCGTAGGCACGAGGAGCAAATGGAACAGCAAAATGAAGTCAAAAGCGTCAGAAAGTAAGGAGGTTTGAGTTCATTAGCTTTGCTTTAAATTGAATTTACTTAGTGTGGAATTTTATGTTTTAATAATTGACAATCAACTCTCAACATTGCTGAAATGGTAACATTCACCAGTCGTAAGCCAGCATGACCCAGTGCTGGCCGCCACTGGACCAGACCCGCTGATACTGCACAGCACCTAATCCCTCAGCCAGCCTTCCCCCCATGCATTGATCCTTCACATTTCAAACATGTACATGCTGTGCACCCTCAGCCATGATTCCAAATTCAATAAAACCCTGAAAATGGCAACTGTGGTACAAGCCAGATCTGAACCAACACGCAGCCATTTATTCTACTTTAAATATCACATATTTTCCTGCAAAAATGTTCATGTGTTTGGTTATGGGGGGCTGTCCCAGACCTCTACTGGGGTTATAAAATAAAACACATATGCATTGTTATAGTGCCCACATCACCCTCCTGCATCAAACCACTTCTGGGACTCTGACCACCCATGACTAAAAGTTGAGCTGAGCTCCTAAGTCACCCCACATCTACACCTTACACCCTTTGGGAAAGAATCAGAACCCAACTAGTGCAGGGACCCAGTCTGCCTTCCTTGCTTTATCTGTTACGTGATCTTCATCTGCCCACTTCCTTGTTCCTCATCTCCAGTTCTCATCTGTCAAATGGCAATCACAAAACCAGCAAGGCTGTCGTGCACATAAAGCAAGTTCATGGACATAAAGTTAGCTTGTCATGTGCTGTATACATTAGAGGGGTTTTTCACTCTTATCATTCTGAAACTGAAATACTTGTTTGAAAGCAAACATTCCTTAAATTGCTGGATAGCAGCTGGGGGTTTCTCATTTCCATAAAAGGAGTTAACCATTGATGTGCATAAAGCCCAGTCATCTCTCTTAAACACAAAAGCATTACACTTGAAAAGCATCTTGTGTGGTTGGTGCAGTTGGGGAAGCTGGTCTATAGTACAGTCTCTGTAACTCATAAGAACTGAATAGCTGGGTCTCATCCCATTAGAAAAAAAGAGAATAGGAGACAAGAGTAGCCCCAGGCTCTTACCTTTCTGGGCCTGTCTGTATATTTATAGGTTTGTTCAGTTTTTTTTTGTTTTGTTTTGCTTTGCTGTTGTTATTTTGGGGGTTTTGGTTTTTGATTGTTTTTATTGTTGTGTTTGCCTTCCCTACATTGGTGCACAACAAACAAACCAAGACTTAAGTGTGAAAGGTCATTCAGAACCTCTGTGCATGCCCTTCCTTTGACAAATGCCGCCCATCTTCTGCTTGAACAATGACAGTGACTGGGGGCCTATTCATTTAGCCCAGATGCCTGAATCATCTTAATTACAACTGGCAGCTCTTTCCATTACAAGAAGACAGCTTTAGGACTCCACAGGCAAAGAAAAGCAAAGGGCAAATTCTTACTATGGTAGAAATGACTGGAATCAAATCTTTCTTCAAGGTAGCTTTTTCTTTTTTTTAAGATTTTATTTATTTATTTGACAGAGAGATCACAAGTAAGCAGAGAGGCCCAGGCAGAGAGGGAGGGGAAGCAGGCTCCCCATTGAGTGAGGAGCCCGATGCAGGGCTTGATCCCAGGACCCTGGGATCAAGACCAGAGCCGAAAGCAGACGCTTAACCGACTAAGCCACCCAGGTACCCCTGAAAGTAGCTTTTGATGGGTGGGAAGATGTGTAAAAGGATTTTGGTAGAGAGGAAGACCAAAGAGAACACAAAGGAACTATAATTTACAGAGGAGAAATGAGGGGCACCTGGGTGGCTCAGCTGGTTAAGCGTCTGACTCTTGGTTTCTTTTCAGCTCAGGTCATGATCTTGCAGTTGTGGGATTGAGCCCCAGATTGGGCTCCATGCTCAGCATGGAGTCTGCTTTGGATTTTCTCTCCCTCTCCCTCTCCTTCCCCCTCTGTCCCTCACCTCTGCTCCATCACACTCTCTCTCTAAAAATAAATAAATAAAATCTTTAAAAAAAATACACTAAAGAAGAGAAATGGTTTCAAACTGCAAAAGAAAGTCTGACAGCAAATGACAATGATCGCTTAAAATTCCACGTGAACAGGATACATCCCTCATTATTATCCAATAATATATATGAATACCACAAAGCAAAAGAGAAATAGAAAACTAGTTGCCAGATAGTCCTTATCAACTCTTTGGAGCTTCCCATTAGGTTCAGAGCTAGGTGCAAAACTTGGGTCTTTGTGGCACAACCATTCATATTTATCTGAAAACTGCTAGTTTTATTAATCATCCTAGTTGATGTTAAATCAAACAGACAGAATTATGGTGCTAAGTCTCAATGCAGATCACAAAGTCTCATTTATCTTTGGACAAATGATATCTATAGGCCTTTATAATCACTGAACAAAAACATTCAAACAAACAAAAATAAGCCAAATTTCTATAGAAATAAGACAATTAAAACATGTACTATTAAAGAAATTGCTGATTCTATTATTTGAGAATTCAAAATGCCACCCCTGGATTTTGAAAGACTGCATTTGTACATTTTTTCTTATAAATGAAAAGCACTGTAGAAACAAAATAGGTAAGTGCCTACTTCTGATTAGACCCTCAGAATTCAAGTAGATGCCTGTCTTAATCAAGATAGACATTTTATTTGTACAAGTCAAATTTTACTTTGCAGATGGGAGGTAGGGTGTGAAATGTGCATTGGTAAAAGTGAATAAGTAAAAAGACTGAATTATAGAATTTTCTTTTCATTAGAGATAACCCAGAGATTAAAGAGATAGAGATGGATAGGACAGAAATAAAGGCAGAGGCAACCAAACAAACAAAAGCAAAAGGCCTTAACAATAGTTAGAACCTGTGAACAGAGGAGAGACACTGACATCTGTTGAAAATCCACTATGGGCTGGGGACTTCGCTAAGAATTTTACCAGGCCATCTCATTTAGCCCTTGTAACAATTCCTCAGGTGCATATCATTATCTCCAGTCTATACGTGAAGAAACAAATGCTTAGAAATGATAGGTTGGCTTTCCAAGCTCATTTTCATTCAATTCTTAGAACTCATTTGAAAAAATAATGTAATACGGTGGTCAGTCAGGTGGACCCACAGGTGATCAGGTTCTATATTCCACTGATTGAGGGAGTTATTTTGCTGGACTGGAAGGTTGAACATTCAAGTGTTGCCCATCTTCACCACAACCCCCCCCCCAAAAAAAACTTAAAGGAGATGTTCTGCCCAGGGGTGAAAGATTAAATGATTCTTTACTCAAGGTATAGGAATTACTGAGTTTTTCTGCTGGACTCTTTGGAGCCAGAAAACTTACTGAATCAACTGAGTATTCAAAATGGAGTTCTAACTACATCCTCCATTTAATATTATAGATTCTGTAGGAGAAAAGAGATACCTCTTCCTCTTATTATGTGAATATATTATTATGTGGATATATTACGTGAATATATTACTTTATCACTGTAAAGACCATGGCATTCCTAATAGTTTACTGGTAAGTGAAGAAAAAGCAAGACACAAAGGTAACCATCTTCATGGTGGTGTCATTTGTAATTAAAGCCCTTGGAGCTAAGATAAGCCTCAGGGATGAATAGAGCACTTATTAAAGGAATAAGAACTCAAGTGTTGGACTTGGTTTTTATCTTAACTCTGGGCTGGTGGCCTGTCTTCTCTATCTTGCATGAATTTCCCGGTTTCATGGCCCATGTTATTACACATAAGATAAAATTCAAACTGTATACATTGACCTCATTCATTTTTTTAACCTTCTTTTCCACTGTCCCCTGAGTGGTATGGTTAGTAGCCTGATGTGGCTGGAAGGAGAGTACTTATAAGAGACAGATTGGAACCAAAGAGATGGGTGAGGAGGCCAGTGCAATAGTCCTTGAGAGCCATGATGAGGGCCTGACCTAAGGGAGTCAGAGTGATAGCTGAGCGAAGCGACTAGCTAGGAGTGAAACCTAGTCATACATCAGCCATAAGGGCACCACAAAACTTTACTCTCTAACTGGGGGATATGCCAATCAATGATCTTACACGGCATCCAGAAGAAATCCGTCCACATGTCTACCTTCTATTCTGCTACCGTGGTGTCAAGGAAAATGCTAGATTTCCACTGGCCTTCACTTAGCCATAACTACTCACTCTGTCAAGAGCCAGAAGCCTTGAATTGTCTCTCCAGAAGTCTTGGCTATGTGGCCTTTCAAGTCTTCTATGGCAGTCTCAATGGCCCCCGGCTGAGTGGAACAAAGAAAATACCTAGTTTAGAGAAAACTGAGCCCTCTTTGTGCTTATGATTAGTGAGTATAACCCACGGCCTCCTCCAGAAAGCTGATGGGAAAGATAGCTCTTGCATCTGTCTATTTGTTCTAGGCACAGCCTGCCCGGGAGCTGTCTTGAACTCTGGTATTTACAAAGCTATTCCCCTTGGGTGGGACCAAAGTGATCCAAGTCCTGTCTCCCATGATCTTACTCATACTTTCTCGAAGAAATGAAGACAGCCATTTTCAGAGGGCCAGTTTTCCTGAATAAACAAGTTTATAAGAAAATTCAAAGCATTTAGCAATATATACATTTTTAAAATCAAACCTTTCTCTCTTTAAAGAACACATGGCAATAAAACACCTAAGTCTTTTTCTAATATTTTGACATAATTTTAGCTGACTCTGGGGAATTAACTTTTTGTCTCCTTATCTTGCATTCTTTACCCTTCTCCAAACAGGTGCTCCTACTTATGGGCCTACCTCTAGTTTAAAATTTGATTAACCCTTTTCCTGATAAGAAATTCATAGACCTCTAACTCAGTGATCCCTAAACTTTCAGTGCACATCAGAATCAAAAACACAGATGTCTGGGCACTGTTTCCAGAGTTTCTGATTTAGCAGGTCTGGAGTGGGCCTGAGAATTTGCATTTCCAACAAGTTCCCAGGTGATGCTGTTGGTGTGGGACTGTACTATGAGAACTATTGCTCTCTAGACAGTTATCCTTGGCTACGCATCAAAATCACCAGGGGAGCTTTTAAAAATCCTAATGCCCAGGCTGCACACCAGGGCAATCATATCCAGATACTCAGTGGATGGGACTCACATATCAATACACCAGCATTTTTTAATGCATCCCAGATGACTCCAATACATAGCCAAGGTTGAGAACCACTACAGCCCAGGGGTTATCTAGTCTAAGCCATTTCATTTTATAGGTGTGGAAACAGGGGCCAGTGTGGGGAAGTAACTTGTCAAATTCACTCAGCTAAGAAGTGGTAGAGACAAGACAAGAAAACAGACTTTCCATTGCCCCACCTACAATGCAGTGCTGGCCTCATTCCCAGCCCTGAGCTACTGACAAGTAGGTTGCCAGTTCTTAAATATTCTCTATATAACAGGGCTTTAATACTAACCACCTAATCGTCTCTAAATATTAACATTCTTAATCCTCCCAGCCTGAGACCCTTCTCTCACAAAAGGAAACCAGGACACTAGCCTGGCCTAGGATCCATCCAAATGCCTTTTCCTCTCGGAGGTTGGTTGGGGGCGGGGGTGGTAGATTAGGATTTGCTTGCTTTCTCAGTCTACGATGAAAGACTTCGAAACATTTTGGCCACAGAGTCCATAGGTCAAGGAAAAAAAAACCTTAGAATAGGAGAAACCATATACGAAAAACAGGAAAAGAATGGCACTGCTTCAGATGAAGTGGTAGGAAATGGTGCAGAGCTTTCCCTACTTAGCTCTGCCCCTCCCCCTCCAATTCACTGGGCAAAGCCCAAGTCATCCAGGAAATATCCATTGAACAGAGTCGAGTGATCTGGGTTCCTGTTCCAGATCTGTGGTAAATCAATTCTGTGACCTCTAGCCAATGATCTGAGTTTTCTTGGCCTCCATTTCCTTATCTATAAAGACAAATGAGGAGACTGAACCAGAGCTTTCTGAGCCAAACTGATGATGAAAGCCTCCTGGAAGTCTTTAAGAAAATATGATCATAGCCCTGATACTGAGACATTCTGAGTACCTCATTTTAACACATTTCCTGCTGAACTGAATAGTCAGCCAGTGGACTGAATGATTTCTGACTCCTTTGTCATCCTCGGCTGCTGGTTCACATGTTGTCAGAGAGTTAAGATGGCAGCCTGTGCCTGCCGGAAGTTGTAAGTCATTAAATCAGTAAGTTGTGGAGCATAAATCAAGTATGCCTTGAGCCCCCACTGACAGAGAAGGCTGTGCCAACATCACTGTTCTAGGGACCCCACTGGCAGGATCAAACTAGGCTGGAGAGAAATCCCCTATGATCCCATGACAGTGCTCCCATCTCCCAACCCAAGCTCCCTGGGATACAGCCAGAATGCACCAGGCCCACTGCTCAAAATCAGCCTTTCTTTGATGACTCATCAGGCTATTTTTCCTGTCTCTCTTCGTATATCCACACAATTTCTTCCTCTAGCTAATATAGCTCAGTAGTGAAACTAATACTTTTCAGAAGAACAAAAAAAAAAAACAAAAAAAAAAAAACTGTAAGTGAAACTGGAGAATAATGAAATAATCCCAAAATAAGCATTTTGTTGAATGCTTTTACACCAGGCACTTTGCCAGAACATGTGAAGATGAATATAAAATTTTAGAATTTTTCAAAACCTTACTTGTCTTCCCTATGGAAAGCAACTGGCAAAATCTATCAAAATGATCTATCCTTTGATCTACACATTCCACTTCTGTGAAATCATACTACGGATGTTCTTGCATATGTGCAAAATGACAGATGTGTATGAAGAGTTCTTTGCAGCCTTATTTGTGAATAGCGAAATTTTGGAAATAAGGCACATATCAATCAATAGGGGACTTGTTAGATATAATAAGGGACACGTCCATACAATGGAACATGATGAATATGAAAAATTAGGAAATCCGTGCTAATATGGAATGATTTCAAAATGTATTATTAAGTGAAAGAAAAAATGTTCAACAGAAAAGATAAATATGTCACATTTTTGTATAAAAAAGAGAAGGGATGAGAATAAATATTTGCACGTGCTTGTATATGCTAAAGCAACTCTAGAAGGATACCTAGAAAATGCTAACAGTGGTCCCCTATGAGGGGGGAGGCACTTGATGGGACAGTGGATGGAGGTGACGTTTTACTGTACACCTTTTCAAAACCTAAACATTGAACATCAGTATGGTTTTTATAAAATGGTTGGGAGGTTTCTAGAGTACTGTCAATGTCCTCACTGAGTGTGGTATTCTCACCTTCAGCAGAAACAGTGGTTGTGCCTTTATGGAACAGTTAATCACTGTATCCTGATAGATTATTTTACTCTCTTCTGTTTGCCATTGTGGGTTGACTGGAATAAATAAACTTCAGCCACTCAGTGTAGAAAACGAGATAGTGTGTGAGCACTCTGACTTGTGTCTAGGGCAAGGTCTCTGCCTGCCGTGAGACCCATATTATGTCCTTATTATTCCAGATATCAGTTTACTCATTTGCCGAGGGGATAAGATAATAGTAACTGTAACAGAGCTGTTGGGAAATGCCAGAAGCATATGGGAACACTGAATAATAAAACACTGTATTTTCATTCTTTTTGTTAATATTAAATGGAGGGAAAATAGTTGTACCAGGATTTGGGGGTCTAATGGTCACTGCAAGGGAACAATTATCTCGAAGACTCCATGCCGTCTAAGACTAATAGGAAAGTATGAGGGAATAATAAGTACCCATCATCCAATACATATATATTTCTAATGCTAAATTTGAAGAAAAATCATGAGGAGGGATTCTTATTTACAAGTCATTACACAGCATATAGGCAATATCTTTTCTAATAGTTCAGCACTGAATGTCTTCAGTCAAAACAAACCTACTGAGGGAATTTCAAAGACGTGTGTGTGTGTGTGTTTCCCTATATTTCTGTAAGCTGGACTAGCCAGGGACCAGTTGTCACACAATTAATACTCCCATCTGCTGCTAATAGTTTCCCATGTACTGGACTCCTTAGCCAGACAGTAAGAGGAGGGGGCAGCATAGAGAGGAATGCTCCCAGGGACTCAGACACAATAGGATCTCTCTTGTGGGTGTCATCATGCCCAGATAGAAATCACTCTGTGGTAAACACATACGGGCAGAAAAACAGCTCTAAATTGGATGTGATTTGTAAAGTCCAGGGCAAAGTTGTCTCTCTTTGAAAATAAAGGAAATGCTTCTTATTTTATTAAGTGCCTACCCTCAGAACGAAACATCAACTTTATTACAATCTTCAAGGGATTTCAGTGTAAGGAGGGGAATCAAGAAATTTTTTGCCCAGTGAGATATGTAATTTCTAGACCAGGAAGAAGCTCACACAGACAATAACAATACAACTAATATATTTAGTTGTTCCCAATGAAAGAGCAAGACACAGGGAACCCTATAGTAAGAGAAGAGGAGAAGGGAGAGAGTATGAAAGCCAAATTAGTGTCATGAAAGCAATGACATCTTGCTACACAATGGGAAGTCCCAAACCTGCTTATTAAGGTCTCGTTCCTCACAATAGAACACAGGCTATAAAAAGGCCATGGGGAACCATTAATTAAATATTAAAAGATCAAATAGTTTTAGTCCCATTAGTTTGTATGTAATTTACATTCTCAAGTACAAATTTAGAGATAATTCCCCATCCCTAATCGCTTTCAACTTTCTGATAAGGTATCTGCAAATATAGAGTCCTACAGGGAGTTTAAAAATATCTTTCCCCATGCGTATCAAGTATTGTTCCTTTCATAAGAAGTTGCTTTTGAATATCAGTCTCCACAACTAAAGGGATTATCATAATATACCTCGAGTTATTAGCCTTGAGTGGTACTTTTGTTCAGAAAAGGCACTAGGCCTTTTTTTAGATATGTCTAAGCAATAAAATAGCAAATGAACAAAACAGGAGGAAAAAAATATCCAAGCAGAGTGATAGCAAGTACTTCAGACATTCATTCCTATGACCTCTCATTCATTGTCCAAGGTCAGAGGCTCTGGAGCGGTGGTAAAAAGTGTCAGGAGTCCTGGCTCTCAGTCTTGGCATGGCTCCTGAATTGCTGGTTGACTTTGGACAAGTCACATCTCCTTTGTGTGTTTCAGGGGTTGGATTAAATTTTCCTCTAAGGCCCCTTCTGGCTCTGAGCAAGAACATCGCTATGTTGGAAGGGCACAGTTCAGGAAATAAATAATAGTCTGGAAGCCTGTGGGTAGGAAGCAACATCCCAGACGCCCCATGAAATAACATAAGAGGTTTAAGGAACCAGATTGACTTCTTTTATGATCTGGTATGATCTAATACATGAGGTTATAATGCTAAAAAATGACTCTTGGGGGCACCTGGGTGGCTTAGTAGGCTAAGCAATCGACTCTTGATTTCAGCTCAGGTCATGATCTCAGGGTTGTGAGACTGAGCCTCTTGTTTGTCCTGAATTAATTTAAACTTCCAGAGCAGTCACATCTTTGTGTATCCAGCTTGCAACTCATATAATTGATCTTCTTATTATATCACTGGGCATCTACTCCTGGAGCCTAAGAAACTCAGTGCCATACTACCACAGCAAGCCAAAGAGTAACTTTCCTTTCTGGGTTAAAAGATACAAGTAGGAAACAACTTACATGTCCATCAAAAGTTGAATAAATTGTAGCATATCTCTATAGTGGAATGTTATTGAATTGTGAAAAATGAGTTTATGGAGGTATAGTTATTGACACAGAAATATTTTTATGCAACGAATTGTACACATGAGGAAATAAATAAGACAGGATATACACCAAAATGTATAAGCACACATTCAATATACTTTGGTTAATGTTGGGCAGGGAGATTATGGTGGCTTTTATTTTGCTTATAGACATTTTTCTTTTTAATTTTTCCAATAAGCTACCTTTTGTGAAATGATTTTAAAACATTTAATAAAATGCTTGATCAAGGAATTCCTCAACTCATTTACTTACTGTTCTTCTGAATTTACAACCTATATGCTTTAAATTCTTGCACTGTAATAAACTTACTTCTTTTTAATTGTTTCTTGAGATCATAGAAATATGAATTGGGAATTGGGAAACTTGGGTTCTAACCCTAGCTTTAGCACTTACTACTAGCGTCTTGGGCAAGTTGGTGCTTATTAATGGTTATGACACTGGACAAGCAACAACCCCTCTCTGGGCCTTAGTTACTTCTGAAAACGAGAGTGTTGACTAGCTCGTTGGTGCTCAAGGTGTGGTCTGTGGACAGATTGCATCTTATTGCCAGAGGATCTATATAAATGCAGAATCTAAGACCTTCCTCTAGGCCAACTGAATCAGACCAGCATTTTCACAAGATTTGCAGGTCATTTGTTTGCATGATAAAATGGAGAACCAGTGGACCAGATCATCTGTCGATCTCGTTTCAGCTCTAAGAAATGATACTTTATGATGAATCTTTCATAGATCCGAATCATTCAGAGCCGGGGTCTTATTGAATTATTCCCTGAGAAATGAATTAGTTTCCTTAACTCAAACCTCTTTACTGCTATAGACGCTATACATCTACATTTATATCTCCTTCTGAAAGTCATGGTGAGGTCACGGGCATCTTAATGTCACTCCCTATGACCAACTACAGAAATGGGAATGCCAAATCAACAAGAAAGGGAGAAAGCATTCATAATAGCAATGAGATGCTGCTTAGGAAATGTTAATAGACGTGTCATACACTGTACTAAGAATATTTACAAAATCAGCCTATTTAAACCTCTGTATAAAACTAGTATTTTATCCACACATTGCAAATGAGGAAATTTATAGGTATAGATAAAAATATAAAAATACATATAAAGCACATTCATTATACTCACATGCTCACAGAATATATATTATGTGGTCTGAAGGAGAGCAAATGCTGAGTGCCTTGGGAATGTAGCCCTCACAGCTCCTAAAGAATCCTCAAGTCTACTTTAAACTCATTAACATTAGAAGCTTTCCCTCCCAACATCTTGAGAACTTAGGGCTTGTTTCTATATACCCGAGGGAGAAGATATTCTTCACATGGACTGGAGTCAGTCATTGACTGACTTAGAAAGGGGCCATACGTGCAGTTGTACATGAGGTGGGAAGAGCTCTGGACTTAGAGACAGGAGATACAGATTCTTGCTAAAGCTATTCCACTAATATTGTGTGACTTGGTCAGGTCACTTCACTCCCCTGAAGCTGCACTGTTTACAATGAAGCAAGAGTGCTAAGTCCTCCCCTGCCTACCTTACAGTGTGGCTCCAGGGAACTTCACTTGATAAGTTTCATAGAGCCACACAAATAAAAGCATCATTCAAACAAACAAAGAAAAGCTCCATGGTGGCTTCAAACTGTGTCGATTTAGCTAAGCTAAAACTACATTTTTCTAGAATTTCTTTTCCTGTTTCCCAATTAGAGTTGGCCACAAGAGACATTAGTGTCAGACTGGCAAGGCAGAAGTGACACATCGGTCATTTCCCTGCGGAAGATCAGTGCAGGCCCGCAGTGACTGCGGCAGCTCATATTCACGGCTGCTTCACTTGATGGCGTGGTGCAGCTTCAGGCCCATCACCAGATGCAAAGACAACAGCTTTGCAGAGACTCCCCAGCCAGCTCTCATGACTGCACCAGCTTCTGAGCACAATGAATCTCTTATTCCATACCACTCATGGTTGTTATCTCATCAAACTGTGACTGATACATCATCATTACCAAAGATGAGACAACTTTAGGGGATGCTTTGATTTCCTTCACAGATGTATCTTACAACTTAATTTTGCTTATTCAATAACGTTCACATACTTTAGAAAACAAACTATATGCTCTGCCTAGACAAAGACGCTCACACAAACACGCACATAGCATAGCACCTACCAAAGCACCTTAACACATACGAGTGGCTAAATACAGATGATACGGGTATATCTTAGCTTCAAACATGCATGCGCACACGTGCGTGCACACATACGTACATACACACACACATACACACACACTGAGTCACATTAGCTGGATTTTTATCTTAACCAAAGATGTTTTAAAAGCTACCAAATCAGGATTCATTAAAACTTTGTAAATTGTCACAATGTCTTAGCCACCATTTAATTATAAGATTGAGTTGAGAAAAACCTTTTTTCAAGATGTGTCCCACGTATGCTTCAAAGATGAGATACTCTCCTTTGTCACACTGTACAATCCCCAGTTTTGCCACTGACTGATTATAGCCTGTGAGCCAGCAATTACTGTGTAAACAAGAACATTGAAGGATTGGCAAAGAACATTGATAAGTATGAAGGAGGGTTCGAGAGAAAGAGAAAAGTACTCAAACCCAGGAAGCACTCTCCACTTGATCCAAATGCTAGAAGTTCAAAATACCTTTTTTTTTCTTTTTAAGAGAGAGTGAGTGAGCAGGGGAAGGGGGAGAGGGAGAGGGAGAGAGAGAATCTCAAGTAGGCTCCACACCCAGTACAGTGCAGAGCCTGACATGGGGTTCAATCCCACAACCCCCAAGATCATGACCTGAGCCAAAATTAAGAGTCAGATACTCAACCGACTGAGCCACCCAGGCGCCCCATCATTCTTTGTATCTAGATATACAAACCCCATCCTCATTACCCATCCATCCATTTACTTTCTCAGCTCTAATGCTCAGGTAAAAGAGGTCAGCTGCAGACAGCAGCCAAAGGTTTGGGATTTCGAAATGCCTGCTCCCACATGTAACACCAGCAGCCCAGTGTAGACCCTGAGGTTCAATCCATTCTCAGCAAGCCTTTCCACTCCATCACCCATGTCTTTTTCAAACATGCAACAAATAACCACTCTGGGCACACAACTTTATATTCTAGCTGCTTGGGTTTTCTCTCCATAGATCATTAATCTGTGGAGATCAGGTTTAACATGAACACAGGACTGAGGAGCCAAAGATCCACAGACACTGGATAACCGACTTCTCCTCAATACTACCTGGTTATCAAAAATAGACCCTTAACTTCTCTGAAATTCAGCCCCTTCACCTGTAAAATGGGGAGAAGGATAACTAATTCACAGTTATTATGACTATTACATGAGATAACAAATGTGAAAATACTTGGTAATATTAGAATATTGTAAGAATTGTCTTGTACAGTACTTCAGGGCACCAAAAACTTTACCCGTGTAGCAAAGTACTTCCGTGAGACAAAAGGTCGGTGATAAGGATTGGGGTACAGTGTTGATTCGGTCACACTTGGCTGCCTTGAAATCTGCCTTGGCTCTGGGTCCATGCCTGGGTCCCCCTCCTCCGTGGACAGCTGGTCAGTCTCAGAGGGTTGGTAATCTCCCTCTTGCTTCAGGGATACAGGCTGGAATCCTTCAAAACTCCTAATCATTGACATTTCTTCTACCTAAAACAAGAGAAGAAACAATCTTTTCATTAGGGAAAAAATAAAGGGAAAAGAAGTCACCTCTGTCCTGGCCAGGGCAAAAAGTCGACAGGGTGCAAATGATGCTCCTGAAACTGACAAAGGCACTCACATGTTAACTAAACAAAGGCCTTAATGAATGCAGTTCAATAACACAGACTGCATTACCCTGTGGGGCCATTTACCAGGGGAGCGAAGCAGAGACCCTCTAGACAGACAAAAGGGGGTTGCAAGTAGGTCCATTTTCCCACCTTGAATCCCAGAGGACAAGAAGTGGAGTACGGAGATGGCAGTATGAAATAATTACCAAGCAGCTGATCTTCATGATTTCATAGAATTTTTGCTTAAAAACCCACCAGCCTGCCAACATATTTAACAGGTAAATGGAATGATAATGCACCTTCTTGAATGCTGCTTGGGTAGTAATAGGGCACAAAAGCACTTAGAACTGAGCATATTTTGACTCAAAAAACAACAATTCTAAAATTCTATCGTAAGGAAATAATTTAGACAAATGCCCAAAAAGATCAATATTGAAGTAGTTCATCACATGTCTCTAATAACAGAAAAATACACAACTTTATGTCTAATAGCAAAACATTTATAAAACAGCCACATTAGACACTCAAACAACATTGTATCTAATACCAAAAGAATATAGTAAAACTAAGAACTGGTCAGTAGGGAACTGGCTAAATACATTATATAAAAAAGTGAAATATAATGTAGTCATTAAAAATATAAATGCATATTTTTATCATGGAAATCTGTCCAAAATATATTGTTAGTGGAAAAACATTATGAATAATTATGACTTACTATATTCAAATGGGTTAAAATAATTCAGATTCAAAAAGAAAAAAAGAAAGAAGAAAGGAAACTGGGAGTTGAATATGTACATACATGTATTGAGTGACAGGGCTAGAAAACGTCTAAAAAGAAATCAGAGAGGGAGATGAACCATGAGAGACTATGGACCATGGGAAACAATCTGAGGGCTTCAGAGGGGCAGAGAGTGGGAGAAGGGGTAACAGGGTGATGGGTACTGAGGAGGGCACATGCTGTAATGAGCACTGAGTGTTATACTTAACTAATGAATCATTGAACACTACATCAAAAACTAAAAAAAAAAAGGAAATAAAATAGAATATTAACGGTTATTTCTGGATGAGGTTATTTTAATTTTTTGTTTTCATAAGTCTCTGGATGCTTACAATGAGTATATATAAGTAAAAACACGATAAACTTATTTCTATTCTGTAAATATACAGCAGAATTAAACAAAATAAATAGAAAGCACACACTAGCCTAGTAAAAAGCACCCCTACATCAGGTCACCATTTCCAAGCTGAGGCCAGATAGGCAGACCTGCAGTAAGTACACCGTCCATGCTACATAGAAGGTAGGTTTTGTGCCTGGCTTCACTGTGACTTGGGAACACCATCTTATCCTCAGAGCTGCCTCAGTGCTCCTAATCAGATAAATCTCATTCCCTCGATTCTTGTGAAACACTAGACAGTGAGAAACAGCCCCAACCCCAGCAAGTGTACATTCTTAACATTGGAATTAGAGTATTCAAGAGAGGTAAAAATAGTATGAGCATATAACCTACTGCCTAAAGCTGGACACTTTGGAGCATGAAAAACATACTATTAAGAATTATGTCAGAATGAGAGAGTAAATCGGGATTATCTCAGGCAAAGGTGGACATACACAGTCACCCTGAGGGGTTTGAATGCAGGAGAAAACACAGCTGGTTAGGGGGGCTCACCAGTGAAAAGCCCTCCACAGTCCCCATCTGATCCTCCCAGCAACCCTAGAAGATGATTTTACCTGCATCTCTCTGGGGATCACAGCGTTTAGGGGACCCACCCAGGGCACACTCAGATCATCGTGGCAGCACCGGGATGCCCACCCCGGGCTCCCAACCATGCTTCCTGTCAATCCAGCACGCCCATCATGAGGCACGCTGTGTTGCAGCAGGAAGGCTTTGCTGAGTCTTCAGTAATTTTTTTAAGTTAGATGCATAAAAGGCAGAGATTGGCCTGTAAGAAATACAAGGCGCACCCGCAGAAGCAGGAAAAATTGTGTGTGCATGTGCAAGTGTATGTGTGTATGTGTGTGTGGTGTGTGTGTGTGTGTGTGTGTGTGTGTGTGAGAGAGAGAGAGAGAGACAGAGACAGAGACAGAGACAGAGACAGAGAGAACAATCGGTGAAGCACTTTGGCCTCCCTGGCAGGTCTGTCACCTCAATCAAACAGTGGCTGTTGGAAGGAAGTGTGTTTCTAGAGTTCCCTGTAACCTGTTAAGGAAAGTTAGTGCCTTTGGGGAAGGAAAGCCTGCTTCTGTATTTGCCACACTCTGGGAACACACGCCTCACAACAGACATCTGCAGAAGGCTCCCGTGCCTGAAAAACAGAGGGAGGACTTAATTAGCACCACTTCCTCTCCCTCAGGCTGTCTTCTCTGGAAACACTCAGGGAAAAGAATCAGAGCACTTTGAGACCAAGCTGTTTGAGATCCAGGAAAGAAGGAAACTCAGCTCCAGTTAAATTCTTACAGCCACGAATCGTGGAAAATGGAACCCGGCTGCCTTACTCCGGGATGACTAGAGCTCTGCTCTAGTCACGGGGACATCTTTGTAAGGACAATGAATGTGACTTCTTCAACAACCTCCCCAATGTGAGAGGAGTGCCAAGCACCGAAGCGGCCAGCTCTATTCCTCATCAACCTCTGCCCAGCCAATGTTTCTCCCGAATTCAATAGATATGTTCTCCTACCTCTGCCTGAGTGGTATACATTGAAACACTAAAAGCATATTAATACTGAAAACAAATCTAGACAAATTCAAATGTTTCCACTGCCTTACATGGATAAAGCATGCCTTGCAACAGACCCATCTGGAGCCATTTATAATTTAAAAAGATCATTATTCTCTAACACTTCTTGGAATCTTAAATGTTAGCATTTAGTACTCAAGTAGCACAATTTCTAAGGAAAGTAAGGTCAAGGCTTAGAAAAGAATAAGTCCGTACTTTTTGACCTAATCTCATTCCAGGACACTCTGAAGAAGAAAAAGAGTGCAATATTAATTGCTTATTCTGGGAGGTAATGAAAAATCAGAAATCAACTAAACACCTAACAGCCAAGGAATTGCTAAGTCTGTCCAATTGATACCGTGCAGACATTTAAAATAACTTGCATAAGCACTGCTGCAGCAGGGAAGTAAAGGATGTATCTTCCTAGGTGAAAAAAAAAAAAAAAAAGCAAAAGCAAAAAACAAAGACTTTCTCTAGATAGGAGGATTTGAATAATTTTTACATTGGTAAAGAGCACAAGGAAAATACTTAGATTTATTGAGGTAGTTGGATTGAAACTGAATTTTTGCCTTTTAAAAAAAAGTTTTTGTAATTGTGTTAGTGCTGCTTTTGCAATAAGAAATAAAACATTTAATAAATATTTTGATTTGCAAATTCTGGTATAATCTGAAACTGCCCCTCACCCCCGACACGGAGGGCAAGGAGAGACCAAAGAAAAGACCAATCCAAATTGGTAAGGTGGCAGGTTTAACAAGCAAGGCAACTTACATATGAATTTGTCTTGGGCGCCTCAAGACAAGCACATCTCTGCATGTGCCCGCCAGAATCTTAAAAGTTTATACACAGGACATACCTGGATTCAGTCACATATAAGGTCAAAATGGTCTCAGCAATACCTTACTCTCTCTCTCTCTCTTTCTCTCTCTCTAGGCTGTGTCCTTCAAGTGGCTCCCACCGTGGGAATAGTGGGTGGCGTGTATGTTTCAAGGGCAGAGGAGGGAGAAGTTCCGATTGCCCTGGGGCTCGCTCAGGGGTCAACTAGTGGTCCTATCTTCTCCATGACCTCCTCAAATGTAACGCCAAATAAATATCTAAAGAAGCACTATTCTTCCTTCCGTTAGATGGTAAGAATTCTATATTTTTCAGCTGCCAGCAAATTCAGAGCTAAACTTAATACAGTATTGCAGTAAATAACTTACTTCTGGGTCCTCATCTAAGTATACCTGCCTCACTGTATACGTGCTTTCATCTGTGTTTCTGTGACTTTTTCTGATAATATTTCAGAAGCATATAGGGCATAAATTGTAGCTCGAGAATCAATGTCTAGTCCAACTCCTTCATTTTGCAAACTGCGGAATGCTCAGGAGGGGGACTCGCCCAAGGACACGCAGCTAAATAGAAACAAGACAGGACTCCTGACTCTCATTCACTGCTTCAAGTTGTATCACTTAGAAGAAAAGCAGAGAAGCAGTTATCAAACTTAGGTGTTGGTCAACTGGAAACAATTTTGTCTAATGTCTCCATCAGTCAGCTCTGCTTTGCTCTGGGATGGGAGATACACCTCCCATGGAACAAGGCTCACCCCAGTTTCTCTTGCATCCGCAGCAGGTACCCAGCACCCAGCCCTGTGAACTAAAGCTTTCTCCTCTACCTTGCAGTCAGGCTGACTTATCTCTTAGGTTCAACAGGCATAGTGCCTATGGTCCACAAACCTTTTAGGGGCTCAGGAAGCGTGTTAATTTATTTTAAAATTGGAAGAGACAAATTAAAAATTGCATGGTCAAAAGAAACGTTTTGATTTTTTTCTCATGTCAGGAAAAAAAGTGAAATTTGTAGGACACCCAAAACTTTTGGTTTTGCCTAAAACCGAAAAAATGGGGGAAGCATTTAAAGTCATAAAGAAATGTAAGTTTTAATATTGATAGTTATGGAAAGGTGGAGAGGTCCATAAAGGCTAAAGAGTTTTAGGCTCATGAAAATGATAATGTGGCCCTGAATTAAACCTACATCCTACTACAGACATTGCCTGCTTAATATTCCATTCTGGGACTCCATCCTAAATCATCAGAACTAGAAACATTCCCTACCCTTTCCAGTGCCTTCCAAACCTTTATTCTGGAAGATTCTGTTCCAGCTGAAAGATTTCTGTCCTGTGGACAAACT